ATCTTCCCTATCTAATGTGATTTATACATTAGGTGGTGTTAATTGTTGCGATCTTCCTGTCTTCATTTTTGTAACTGTCTCTTTAATAAATAAATAAAATGCCACTCTGCAGCCAGATATAAATCAGGATCATGTTCTCAAGCAGTAGCTGATTCATGACAAGCTGTGGGGCATCAGTACTGTGAAAAATCACAACCAGACCGGTCAATATGGTGTGTTTCAGCACCTCAGACAGCTCCGTCAGTTCCCTCTCCCTCCAGTAGGGGTCTCACTCCGGTCAAGCTTTCCTAAGCGGAACCATCTAGCAGCAGCACCGTCGGAGCGTCGGAGCGGAATAAGTGTGACACGCTGACAAAACATCAACAATGTGAAAGGAAGGTAATCAAATGAATTCTCGCTTTTCCCTTTAAACGTGGCGTGTTTGGTGATATGACCGTTTGAGTGAGCGACTCCTTTGTTTTTACCTGCAAACCTACGCTCGTGTAGTTACGTCACCCTGGCGTCGCACCTGTAGATTAGCATGCTAAGCTAATTATTTGCTAGCTGCCTGCTCAATGTCAAGAAGGTTCACTGGACGTTGGTGGTGGTTTTAACTTAATTAGCACCGTTACACAGCTTCGTGTCGTTAATATAAAGGCTAAAGAAATTAAAGGAATCGTATATAATGCACGTAGCTTGCACCTGCTACCTGTACACAAGCTTAGAGACTTGCTCATGTCTCTACTAACTTACATAATCAGAAGGAGGGATTGTGTACTGTGGGAGATGCACACAGAGGAACATAGTGTGCTTTGGAACAGTTAAAGAGCCTATAATAACAGCATACGATGCCACCTGCATGTCAGTATTTACAATAAATACTATTATAGTAGATCCAAGTGTACAAGCAGTAATGATTGGGTGAAGGCGGCAGGAGTAGTTTTTAAGACTGTCTATCTTTAGAGAAAAAGTTAAAACATCTAATTTCTATTGTTGTGACTAGAAAGGTGTTGCATTTAGCCAACAGCTGTTCAGGTGAGGTTTTAAAGGACAACGATCATATAGTGGGATCAGTTCACAGTGACCATAAACTGTGGCTGTATTCAAAACGCACGATGCCACTGATGACAACAGATTTCATAACGAGACACATAGATTGAGCTGTTTGTGTGCTGGATGCTGGCGAGTCAGTTTGGGCTACTGCCCGACACTTGAATGTCCACAGCTCCACTATTTGGCTTCTAAACGTTTCAGACAGCTCTGGATGTCTGACAATTTGATCCTGGAACCAAAAATGTCCACTAACTCTTCAGAAAAGTGGGACAACGTTCCGTAAGTGGGCAGCATCGACAGCCCTACTATGTGTCGCAGATGTGTGACTGAGATGTGATTTCTGGACGATGGCCCCACTCTGAATTGGCTCATTATCATCTCCGATATAGTGGCTACCAGAGATTCTTGGGGGTGGAACAACAACAACATATTCCCGTATGTTAAAAAAAAAAAAAAGAATATAATAAACTATTACTTGTTGCATTTATATTTTGTTCAGTGTACTTATCTTAGAAGGTGCCAAAGTGAAAATCAGGCAAAAGATAAGCTTCCACGTCCAGGCTAAAACTTTTGTAAAAAATATTCATTTAAAAGCAACGATATGCAGCTTAAAAATAAATCCTTGGATTGAGTCTCACCACAAACGTGCTTGGGAGCAGGTTCGTTTTTTCATAAACAACATTAGCTGACGGACTTAAATGGAAATCAATCCAAGCGCTGCTTCTTGCAGACGGAAACCAGTTGCAATCAATGCTTCAGTAATAAGAAGACCATTTCAAGTGGTCATATTCTCCAGATCGGTAGTCAGACACTGTTCCTTCATCTATCATTTCACATGTATCCTCATGCCACTGGCAGGACGACATTTTCTGTCGCCAAATGATTATTATTAACAAATTAAAGAAATGACACCGCAGGGCCTGTGATAATACATTTGTAGCACAAATAGCACAAATGTCCAATGAGTTTACTTTATGTGAAATTAAGTCACCTCTGACTAGGGAAAGGAAAACATCCCCCCTCTACCCCTTTAATACCCTCCTAAATCTGGAAATAAATATTTTGATGAGTAGCCAGCTCGTCAGATGAGGTCAAGCCTGGCCCAGCTGGTCCTCTGCCCTTTTGCTATTTGCTTTAAAAGGACAGCAAGCACAAATTATTCTGTGGTATATTAAGCAACAGATTGGTAGAAAAAAAGTTAGAAAAATGTTGGTGCTTTGTGTGCTAGTATTTGCTCTGACACACAACGGTTACAGGGATGAATACTTGAAAAGGGCACGTTTCCATTTTACATGACTTTGATTCTCCTACTTTTACCCAGAAGTTGTTGTTTTTTTCAGTTTTATATTGTTCCTCAGTTTTCCAGGTTTTCTGTAGTAGGGTTTGCTTCCTTTGGGTTTTTGTAGAGGAATAAAGAATCTAGAAAATATTCATATTGTAGAAGCTGAAATCTTTTCGTTTTTCTTTAACTCCAATCGATTGATTGATTATCAAAAATGTTGGCAATTATTTTTACACATAACAACTGATTGATTCATCAATTTGTTGCTGGATTAAGGTTCTATTGTTGTCGGAGTCCAGAATAAATATATAAATATTTGTAATTGGATTAAAGAGACGAATGAAGAACAGTGTGTTTATGTTCATCAGTGGATAATAAACAGATATAATAAATAAAAGTAGAAATAACACAAAAATAATTGGCTAAAGCAATAAATGCCTAAACAGTAATCTCTAAAATGTTCTAATTATTTCTAAACCATATCCAGTGTCTTATACTATTTTGAGAAGAAAAAAAAACAGTTACTTTCACAGTTTTTGAGCCATGTTGGACAATTTTGTAGTTCTTGTAGAAAGGTTTATGTCATTTTGATCCATTGGGAGTTATTTTTGGCAGATTTGTATCATTTTGGAAAAGTTTCGAGTAATTTTGGGCAATTATTGAGTCATTTTGAAGTAATTTCATTTCATTTCAGACTATCCCTCAGTCATTTTTTACAAATTTATGTTATCTGAGACAAGTTGAGTCATTGTGATTAATTTCAGACATATTTTAAGTCATTACGGAGGATTTTATGCCATTCTGGACAGTTTTTGAAGCATTTCATTCAGGTTTTTTTTATGTTGCTCACTTTTTTTGCATCCTTTTGGACAGGTATAGGTCATGTTGGACTTTTCTTCCCTCAGGTTTTTTTTTTTTTACTAATAGTAATAGCGAAGCGTAAACTAGCATAACTAGCAGACTGAATCACAACTAAACCACATAGACGAGTACTTGTATCACTTGTGTCACACTATCTAAGACAGGGCTGTCCATTCCTGGTCGTCGAGGGCCACAATCCTGCATGTTTCAGATGTTTCCCTCTTCCAACACACCTGATTCAAATGATCAGGATCGTTATCAGGCTTCTGCAGAGCTTGATGATGAGCTGATCAACGAATAGTCAACTATTCGGCTATTCAGGTCCAGCCCTAAATTCTACATTTTCTTGGGGTTCACCTCCAACATCATCCTGTGGAACATTTTGAAGCAAATACATTTAAGCATGGAAATTTGCAGAAATTGTCCTCGTTAAGAGGGAAAAATGCTGCGACCACAGCACATCAGAATCAACAACATCACCACCAGGCCTCCTCCTCCTCCAGTCGTCGGTAACAGTCCTTTCCAGCTGGAGAACATAACATTGAACCAACTCATGTAGTCAGTATTTACTCCTGCGGCCTCGTGCATCATGTCAGAAAGCTCTGTCAGTTTCTGCAAGACTTGGCTCAGCTGCTGTCCGTCCCCAGAATAGGACGGGATGACAGTGCAACACTGCCCATTAATGATGGAGCACATTCCTCCTGCTTCAGCTATCAGGAAGTCAGTTCCACTTCAAATCCGTCGTGTCATTCGGGTGTTCACTGTGAGCTCCTTCTGGGTGAGAGCGAGGGCCGCAGGGGTTAATACTGTAACTTTATCTGGCGGTTGGATTGCGTTTAGTAGTTGTAATAGCAAGTTCTTTGTTGCAGGTTTTCCTGTCGATGTAATCATTCCTCTATTCTTTCATTGCTGTGCAAAACAAGGGTGAAAAGGCAAACTGGTCGTCAGTGTAGATAGCTGTCTTTTCATCTTTGCCTAGTTTGAGGTTCAGTTATCAGTTCAGCAGCTTGTGCTGGCATATCGACGGTAGAGGATTAGGTTTCAATATTGATATTAGGGTTACAACAGCATTATGTCTTGTAGCTGATTGAACTATCATTCTGTCTTTTGAAAATTGTACCTTATCTGGAACATCACTTGCTCTTAACACAGTCCTACATGCCCCTGAGTCAAACAGAAAGAAACTGTGTCCTGGCCTCACACACTGAGAGTGATGTTAGGTTTTTCTCCCTCTGAACTTAGCATTAAATCTGTCCAGGTTTAACACCTCACCGTGTAAGTCCGAGTCACACGCTTCATGGTTCTTATCAAAGTTAAAGTCGTTTTTATTGTGTGGTGTTATTACATGACCTGTTGTCGGGGCGGTCAGTCATGCTGATTGCTGGTTTTCGGCTTGGCAGTATAAAGCTCTGTATCCACCACGCCCACCACCTCTTCCTCGGCCTCCTCGGCCTCCTCATCTCCACCAGCCTCCGTCAGCCTTTGCCCCACCTCGAAACTGGAGCTGCGCTCTCAAGCAAAGTGGTCGTCTTTTCTGAAGCGAAAGCAAACCACTTCTCTTGAAACATATCACTTTTCTTCATTCCTCCTTTTTTCAGTTTTTTGGCCATGCTGTGTTTTTGATTTGAGCAACATTAGATCAGGATCGAGACTTCTTGGTCTGCATCAGGGGTGCCCACACTTTTTTGGCTTGTGAGCTACTTAAAATGACCAAATCAGAATGACCTACCTACATAAAAAACACTTTCTCTCTATATATAAATGTATTTATATTTATATATGTCTGCATATATGTACTGAGTATTCTGTATATATGTTGATGTACTTTGCATAACTGCATGAACCCTTATGGCACAATACAGTTCTGTACATTTTTGATCATTACCTTACTCTGATGACTTGCACTGAATTGAATCTGCCAGGGTTACATAGTACAGAAGCTGCTGCTAACCAGCCTCAAGCAGACTTCCAAATGATCATCGGTCATGGTGGAACGGTATTTGGACTTAATAATCTTCATGTGGGAAAAGGCTGACTCATAAATAAGTAGAGCTGAATAATGCAGTCAAGCAGGCAGCACATTTCCTCATGTCTGGGTACTTTTCCTCTGTGAGTAACTTCCAAAATTGTCCACAAGCCCTGGACCTCGGCTGAATGTCAGCCTACAGTGTTAAAATCTCATCTTCCACTCGAGATGAGTTCAGGTGAAACAATTTTTGAGTATTGCAGTTGACCGTGCATGCGTGGTGACCCAGTCCTGATTAACTCCATCGGTGGTGTTCAGTCACAATAGCATCTTTGGATGAGCTAATCGAAGCTCTATGCCAGTCTGATGGCCAAACCTATTAAAATGCAACAAGTGTGGACATAAAGCATCACAGAGCAGTTTTCTACCATCAAATGGTCACATTGTTGTTTTGTTAACAGTATCAGCTATACTTTGGTTTGCACAATGATGAACTGATGCACTTAGCTGGATGCAGACAGCAGCTCTGGTTGGAGGTGGTTCGAGCTAGATGGGGATGTCAGTGTAGCACATGTTCCCACTCGGACTTTTTTTTTCCAGAAAGCATGGACTAGATGCACAAAATAAATGAGTTATGGTGGCAGGAGTGTGCATGTCCCATTTGAACACTGTCACAGAGAAATACAGAAGCAGAAATGTGCAGGAGCCATTAAAACACAAGGTGTTTCAGAGCTGCTGAGAAGAGCAACCCACTGCCACTGACCGCTGGTGGAGCTGAACTTGTCAGACCTAAACTACATGTAGCCAATGCAGAGGTGTGTGTGTGTGTGTGTGTGTGTGTGTGTGTGTGTGTGTGTGTGTGCGCTCTGCTTAACATTAGTCTGTCTATTAATAATCTGAGTGTGTTGAATAGAATTGACTTTATTGAGGTGTATACTAGCACACACACCTATGTTACTCAGTTATTTTGTGCTGTCATATATTTTATTCCAACTTTGGGTTTTTTTCTCTCATTTATTTATTTTTTCTCCTTTAACCATACATGTGTTTGCATCCCTGGATATGATTTTCTTTCTTTTTCTTGTTTTTACTCTGTTGGCTGCACTATAGTACAAAGTATGTTACAAAAATATTATAATTTCAGTAGTAGGAGAATTATTACTTAGTTTGTCAGTGACTTTTTACGTCCTTTCTGGCTTTACTTGCTGTTTTTGTGTTGTTATCTTAAGTGCTAATCATCTAAATCCTCATAGCTCTCTAACAGAAGAAATTTGCACCCTCTCACTCATCATTCTTCCAATGGTAGAGCTGCTGATCACGCTTTCCCAAATTGTTTGAAGACATAGTAATCGTAGTGTATGTGTAACCGGTAACTTGACAGACGACAAAAACGTACAAAATCCGCTGTCAGTTGCAAAGACTTGTACCCCTACAGAAATTAAATGATACAACAACATATTGGAAGCGGTAAAGTAAACTTATAAGTCAAATTACGTACATTAGAATATACAGATTACAGCGACACAGTCTCGCTTACCTCTCCCACAGAATACATGAACAAAAGGGGAGAGTTAAGGCAGGAAAAACCCATTTATGGGACAGGGTGGGTGACCAAAAGCGTACGTGGGGTACTGGGACCCCCAAGTGAAGGTTCCACACAATAACTGAAGGGTTTTGTATGATTCTAACAATTAAAATAATAACAAGAAAAAAACAATAAAATCAAACACACATGGTACTTTATGCATCACTAATATAACAACACATATATGTAATTCGAAACTGCTGCTGTACCACTGACCCTGTTACATATGTAATCTTCTGATTTCGAAGAAAGTAGTAAAAAAAAGTCCTCTCTCTCATTATTCTGGCATTTAGCAAATAGAAATAATTTTGGTAATCCTAACTGACTTAAAACAGGAAGCGTTTAGTCTGATTTAATGTCAGACAGTGAGAAAAAAAAAGGTTTTATGTCTTTTTATACAGTGGATGTAAACTTCTGGTTTCAACTGTACATTCATCAGTGACTACAGTTCAGTTATCCAAGATGACTACTTTAAACAAAATCATAAGTGGGTTCCAAACAAACCAATTAGTGCAGATTCTGGCTCAGCCAGTAGATGAACAGGACGAACACAAAGTAGGCCCCAGATTGTAGCTTGAATTCAGGTTGTATTTAACAACAAAATACAAACTTATAGAGAAAAGAATGCACAAGACACATCGTAATAAAACTACACACAATAGCACATTGCATTTTCAAGTAAACACAATTCACAAGTAACACAGGATGGAATAAAACATCAAAGTCAGTGAGTGCAGCTTTTAGCAAACTTTTTTAAGTTGGTTTTGAAAGTGCTGATAGAACTGCAGCCCTTCGCATCGTCTGGCAGCCCGTTCCGTTCATTTGTGGCTGTTACAGGGAAAGCTGATTACCCAAATGCAGTATGGTACAATCTCATATAGAGAATATCCCGGTGGATCTAATAGGATATACCGTCAGAGCGAGGAGTCTATTTAAAAGCAGGGACTTCTGTCTGGGAATTCTCTTCCAGTCCTGTTAGTGTTTTTCCTGCATAGAGGAATTTTTGGGACCTCAGAAATGTTTTTAGCCCCAAAAGTGATAAGAATTGAGAAAATTAAAAGCGTGAGCCATTTTTTAAAAATTGGGTTTTGATTTACACAAGAATAGTAGACATTTTTGTGAATGAAATGGTGAGAAATAAGAGGAAAATGCACAGATTTGTGTTAAATAAGGTGATACATGCATAAATCGTGATTACTGCCTTGCATAGTCGGCTCCCACAGGCCCATTCTATACCAGGGAAAAACGCTGCCTGTGTCCGTGTAAATTGTTATCCGTAATATAAAAGCTCTAAAGGGCTGTTTGCATTCGTCTGCTCAGAAGCCCAAAGGACATTTTTAATGTCGTTCACAACTGGGGTGAAAGCTCAAGTGCGAAATCCAGACGATAACTTCAAAATTGAGGTCAAAATGCAGTGCGAATAAAAGTTTAGCTAAAGTTAACCAGTTACATAAGTTTGTAGGCGATTAGGAAGCTGGTTAGTTTAAAGTGAAATGAGACATTGGCTGGGTGCCTGCCAGAGTGGGTGGTTAAATCAAGCTGAACAGTTGCTGTTGTTAATTTCCCTCTAGGCTCTTTACACACACACACAAACGCAGACATTAAAACAAAACACCACTGCATTGTCCGACTCCTGCAAGGCGCTGCCGCTTTTAGTCTTGCCGGCGTTTCTGCGCGTTTGGTGTCCTGATGATAAATGAATAGTGATTGGAAACGCAGTGGGTTTGCCCCTCGTTGGGGCCACCTACTGTATATAAACGCTACACTCATACATTTTAAGTTGCTTTGGGGTGAAAAAAAACAAATGACAAATAGGTTAAAGTTCATGCAATTAAGCCAAGTGTTTACAAAAAAGTACCCAGTAGCTTGTAGATAGATAAAATCTTTTTCCATATAACCTGTCAAGCATTCTAGAAGAGGACTAATCAGTAATTCAGACTTTTTATTATGTTTAAAATGAAGAACTCGATGAATGTAGGGGGGAGTGGAAGCGCTGCTTACATACATAAATCTTATTTGCAATGAGGAAGCATCAGAGGCAGGATGAGTCAATATTTCAGATTAGCAAAAAAAAAAAAGAATAATAGAAAAGTGATGTGTTGAAAAACAGATTAAACAGACGAAACTCTATGAATACAAAAATGATCACCCTCTGTGCTGCCCTGAGGTCTTCAAGGAGGCTGTTCCATAATAAGAAAAGGCTGTTGGTTTTTGTTCTGGCTTAGGGTTCAGTTTAAAGGCCTCTACCGAAGACCTGAGGGTTCTGGAAGGTTTATAGGATAAAAGCAAATCCGATAAATCAGTAAGACCATTAAGAGTTTTATAAACCAATGAAAAGATCATAAAGCCAGTTCTAAAGGAGACAGGTAGACAGTGCAGGGGCTTTTAAAAATGGTGTAATGTGTGCCCTCCTTCTGGCCTTAGTCAACACACGTGCAATCGAGTTTTAAAGCTTAAAGTAATTGAAATATATTCTTCTTGGGGAGATCAGATAGCAGAGTGTTACAGCAGTGAATCCTGCAGGTAATAAAAGCGAGCCGTAGTTTATCTAAATTGACTTAAGAGAGGAACTGTCACACTCTGGCAATGTTCCTCAGACGATACAATGCAGTGTATTTTGAGAAAAATTGAGATCCAAGTGAAAGGTGAGGTTTTAAACTTGTTGATGTGGGCTTACACCAGCACTTGCAGTTTCACACTGAGTGTTTCTCCATCAACTTCGTGTCACATCATCCGACTCACACAATGTAAATAACACCATCCTTCTACTTTCCTCTCAGGTTCTTTGACCCGGTTTTAGAGGGTGAACCAGGATGGCCATCCGTCGTGTTCCACTGGTCTTATTGGCCTGTGGGTCTTTTAACCCCATCACCAACCAGCACATGAGGCTGTTCGAGCTGGCCAGGGACCACATGCACAGCACAGGTCAGACCCAAACACCAACGACGCTGCATTCACTTGTGTGTTTTATCTTTCCTCATTCGGCCTTCAGTGGAAGAGTAGCTCCTGTAATCCTACATGAAGCTCACTGAGTAAGTCTGTCTTGAAGTAATTGATCAAATGTGTTTTATGCAATACGACGGAGGATTACAACCCGACTCTGCAGCTCTTCAGAGATTTATAGACTCACTTTATAGAGTACAAATAGACTGCTTTTGATTTTGAGTTTGATTTAGTCCTATTGCTCTCATTAGCTTCTTTTTTAGCAAACAAAACTTATGTATGACCTGTAAAGCTCCAACCAGCAGATACGCAAAGGTAAAGGTGGAGCCCCCAATTCTGGAGTAAGTCTGGGCCAGATTTACTGTCCCTCTTGCTCCCGCTGTCCCCCTAGTGGACGGCTAGAACATCATGAGAAAATATTCACTCAATTTGATTTGATTTCATTTGAATTACTTCTAAAGAGCCGGTACACATGTATGCGGCCATATATATATATAATAAAGGCTAGATGTCTCGTCCGCGCTGTCGACGAATGGAATCACACGGCCACACTGGCAGCCATCTTGATACGGTACGCTCGCTCAACCATAACATTGTGTTGTAGTGGTGCATGTACTTTTTAAATAACCATAACCTGCTCAATTTTCTATCAATTTTCAAACAGTTTGGTTTGTTATAAACGTCAGAGGTGTATTTATAACACTGCACTTATGGATAATTATGTTACACTCTCAGGGCCAGCAACAGTTTGTATTTTAATTATTTTGTATTTTATTTGTATTTTTGTAATTTGAATTGTAGCCATGTTAATAACGTTTGTAAGAAACCAAAGCGTTTGTAAATCCGTCAAGATTTCAGCGAGATGAGAGTATTTATGTTTGTGCAGATCACTCACCTTCCTTCATGTACCACAGTTTCCGCCAGAGAGCTTCCCTGAATCAAGATGGCCGAAGGGTGATCCCGTTCGAAACGCCGCCTTAAGACATCAAGCCTTTATTATACATATCTATGTATGCGGCTATTTTGTAAACCTTTTTTTATAGAATAGAATAGAATAGAATAGAATAGAATAGAATCTCTATTGTCATTGGAACAAGGACAACGAAATTAAAAAGTGCCAAACCAACAGCGCAACATTCATGTCAAAAAAAACCAAAGACTATAAAAACTGTAAAAGAGTAATTAAAAAATAACTATATATATAAATAAATAGTAATTACAGACATGCAAATACACACACATACATACATCTCCTAACTGCACAATCCCTTAATGCACTGAGCAGCATGTATTATGTTTTAAATTTACTACGTCATTCTGAAACAAATCTGTCCACAAAAAAAAGAGCAGCAACATAACTATTGTTAAAAACACATTCAACCCAATCAGAAGACAGGAAAAAGCTGTGACTGGCTCCAGAATGCTACCAACAGGAAGGAGGAACCTCATGTGTGGACTGGTTCTGACACCGGTTTCTCAATACAGTGGAAGAGTAACTGCACATTTACTTGTAAACATATGAAAGGTTTTATTTGTAAGGTTAGCACAAACACTGTAGCACCTTGACCATGTCCACGTTGGAGACAATTGCTTCATGTGCACGTCAACACCGCAAATAGAGTTCTTTTCAAATCTTCACTCTGGAAAGGTTTTTGCAAGAAGTCCATGTTCAGTGACTTAAAACTCTATTTGTGTGTGAAGGAAAAGCCAAAACACACAGAAAAGACTGTTTAGTCCCTGTGTATATGTGAATGAGGCCTTAGACATGCCAAATTATCATAAACACAACTGCAAATGAATGCTAATGTTGCTCAGATGCTGGGTGTGAAGGCAAGCTTTTTGTCACAGCAACGTTATTAAGACCATAACATGACTGAGACTTTCAGCTTGTAGTGGAGCTCTCCTACTCCCGCAGCGGCCTGAAAAAAGTTATTTTTTTTCCCATGAAAATATTCTCTTCCGGTGTTAGAAGGGCTTAGATGTAACTCTACACAGTTGCTTCCTCAAGAATGCGCAGCTCTATTAAGTATCTGCCTCTTTTTCCACTCACCTCTAACCACTCAATGCAGCTCAAGCACATCAGCTCACTTCTGACTCTGCCCAAACACTGTTTAAACTACTACAGAATACCAGGTTGTGATATTGTAATAATTCATATGTACAACTGCTAACTGATTCTGACGAAGAATAACGATACAAACATGTAAACAAGGTTTAAAAAACACAACAGATTTTCACTAGAATAGGTCTTAAACACTCCCCGTTCTTGTCTATTTCTTGATGAATCATATCAAAAGAACATTTTCATTGGCGATCGAGAGCAAAACAAACAAACACAACATAGACTAATCTCTCTGAACCTACTGAGACCCTTAAAAAAGCTCAGCCACTCTTGGCTTTGTGTCCTGACGTGAGCTGCCATACGGTCCGAATCTCAGCAAAAACAGTCTTTTTATACAAACTCAGGACCATTTACATCCTAAAGCTGCTCTGAGTAAGAGCCCTGGCCTGGTCACATGGTCGTAATGACACCATTATACCGTAAGAAGCACGCCGGCCCTGAGTCAGCGCTCTCGCTCTAAGATGCTTTGTAAATCGATGCACAGTGCAGCACTTCAGCGCGCAGGAACAGTAATGCTCTTACGGCTTCCCTTTAAACCCTCACCTTTAAGACATCAGCTGACTGGCTTGAGGTTAACCATCAGAAATTAATATAAGCTGCACATAAGAGCTGTCATTATTCGCCTTTTGCTGAGCGTTTGTGCTGCAAATACGTGTTTTCACTTGTATTTTTCAAAACAATAATTAGTACAGTTTGAATCTGCTAAAATGTGAACTTTCAAACTTTAAGTCTCTTTGAAGCAGTTTCTAAACTGATCACAAGGTACAAGCTATGAGTAATGACTTAGTTTGAGTCGTCTCGTCACGATCAAACATCTTCATCACTTTAATATAAAAAGATTAATTGTATAATTTGTCATCAAACGGGAGATCTGACGCAGCATTAACACCAGTATCTCTGAGAGATTCTTCCATCTACTGAATTATATTCCAGTTTTGTTTTTTTTTTATCAACTGTCATGACCCAGAAACGCTGCATTAATCTTCTCTCCCCTCAGGCCAGTACCAGGTGGTGGGTGGCATCGTGTCTCCAGTGAGTGACGGCTACGGAAAGCAAGGCCTGGTACTGGCTAAGCATCGCATTGCTATGGCGAAGCTGGCACTGCAGAGCTCCAACTGGGTCACAGTTGATGAATGGGAGAGCCAGCAGCCGGACTGGACTGAGACAGTGGTCACTATGAGGTAATAAAGGAGTCGAACTGGGGCGTAGAACGTCCACGTGTTTTAGGATATACAGTCGAGAGCATGCAGGAAACAGAAAAGCTTTTTTCTTCCTCTTTTCTGTCACCTCTTGTCAAAGCACCTCACTGATAATTACATTCACCATTACAGTCGCTTTTAATGACTGCACTCAATAGTTCTCTGGCTGTTCACTGTTTAATACAGAGTGCTTCAGTGCTTAATCAGTAAGGAGATTTACTTCACAAAAATGTCATTTTGTGCAGAGTTCAGAGGAAACGCCATTGCTGCGAGTGATCAAACATTGTTAAATTACATTTTGTGTCTCTGGTTAAAGTATTTGGACCTGATGGCTCCTATCAGACTAATATTGTGCCCCTCTTAAGGATTTGCAGTTTCAGCATTATCTCAGCTACTGCATGGAAAGTCATCCTCGGTTTTCATAACATGCCACATCATGGAGGGTCTTTTAATGCGCGAGAAGACCGCGGCGGCAGCAGCAGAGTTCACAGAGATGCACTCTGCTTTGCTGCCTGTCTGCCAGCCCTTCATTATGCCAGCTTCAACTGTTTATGTAACAGACTGTTACCAGGTTCCCTTCGCCTAAATTATGGGTTTTAGTCTCTCTGGGGCCGCCAGACTAGTCTGGACCCATATCAGGTCTGGGTTCCTCATGGGGTGAAATTAGGGGCACGGGCTGTTAAATTCATTGGCGGAGAGGGAACGGAGCCGATGCAAAAGGCTGTCTGGGACGTGAATTTGTTTGCGGAGAGGCAGGCGGGAGGTGCTGCATTCTGAGTAAGAAGGCTTGAAAGAGGGGCAGCTGAGTGTCGGCTCCCTCATTATCACAGATGTTTACTGGGGAGAAATATGACATTTGTTTGGCTCAAGGGAAGCATCTAATGGAAAAACAGTTTCTCACGCTGCATGTACACCGGGCATACATACAAATACTGTACGTTATGTGCAAATCCAGGATCCTTGGCTTGCTTTGCCCAGGGGCCACAGATTAAGTGAATAAACATTTTCTGTTTTTTTTAAAAGCCCGCAATTCTTTTTTCTTTGAAATGATTTATTTTCAAATCAGCCAAGTAACAGCCAAGGGCCGTTAGTGACCATTTACTAAATAAACAAACCTCAGTGTGAATCATGTTATTTTACTGTGTATTTGAAAATGGTCAGTGGGCCAGCTGGCACTCTGTTGGGGACAGGATTTGGCTCCCAGACCATAGGTTGAGTAGGACTAGTGTACATATTTGGGCTCACCCACTTAGATTAGATTAGATTAGATAGAACTTTATTGATCCCTTACATATATATTTATTGATCATTTGCATCATTCTACTTCTTTATTTTACTTATTCTCCTTCTTCCTTGCTTCCCATTTTTTAACCCCTCATGATTCTCTCTCTCTCTCTCTCTCTCTCTCTCTCTCTCTCTCTCTCTCTCTCTCTCTCTCTCACAAACACAAACACAAACACACACACACACACACACACTGACCCCTCCACACCTCCCCTTCCTAGCTGGTTGTCCATAAGCCGCATTTGCGCAACGCGAGGCCTGATCAAGGCATAAAGTGGACTGTTGTCCCGAAACTGTTAACAGGCCACGCTACACACCATCTCACAAACACACACACACACACATTCAAAAGTTCTGGAACAACCTTAAGAAGCTTTGCTCGAAAACAGTGGAGTTTTTCATTCTTCTGTTTTTACAAGTTCGTCTCTAAATTATGGGTATTTCTCCTCTTCTAATTGAGTTCATAAAGCTTTATTAGCATAATGTTTGGATTGAAAAACAAGTTGCCCGAGCACATGCATAAGCAGAGCGAAATTTAAATTAATACACAAAACAGACAGAGCGGAGTTTCTGGAAACAAATGCAGAAGTGAAACATGCTCACATTTGTAAAAAATAAAACGACAGAAAGTCTCAGTTTGTCTTTTTTCCTTGTTTCTTGTCGGGCAGGTATCATTATGGGCGTATTCTGAAAGAGTTTAAGCAGAACAATGGGACACACTATGACTCCAATGGAAACATCACTCCTCTCTCAAGTAAGTGCGTTTGGTTCTAGAGAACTTGGGATCAGATTTGAAATCTTTTGACTGTTTTCAGGCGTTTCACACGTAGCTTTTATTTGTAATATTGGATGTGAATTCTTTATATCCACCATTTTGGTCCAAACTGAAAAATCTTAAACTGATGGACTGCAGACATTCAGGGTCCCCAAGGGATGAATTCCTTTGCCGAAGCCCTAACTTTTCCTCTAGCGCCACCACCAGGCCATAGTTTGACTAGTCCAATAATCTAATTTATGATGCCTTTCTTTTCCGCCTCAGCCATGCTTTGTGTTTAGCGCAGCTTAGCATAGCTGGTAAACAAGGTTAAAGCCACCAAGCACCACCATGTTGTCATTTTGAGCTACTAGAAAAGCTGCAGAATCTTTTTTGATATTAGCTTGATATTAGATCTTTAAAAAGTGCAGTTACGGGGGGGAAAGGATTTACATTAATCCCACATAATGTGCCTGCGCTTAACACGTGCAAAGTAGAAGCTTAATGGTGCCCTGTGGTCCTGACTAACAGTAGTTTAAGAGTCTTAGTGGATAGCTTTAATGATTTTCTCTCTCTCTGTGTATAAATGCTCATAGGGCTGAAAACCTTAAAAATGCATAGCTAGAACATGTGTGACAATGATGCTTGTTATATAACTGAAAGCTGGCCAATCAGTATTCAGGAACATTTATCTATGATTTATCAAAAAATCATTTACAGGGATATCTTTTGGGTCCAACAGCTTTTTTTTTTTTTTTTTAACACTACATTGCATAAAGATGACAAAATCTATGAAAAATAGAATATTGGACTGGAAGACCCCTGAGATCTCATCAGAGATGAAGCAGATAAAATATGTATTCCTTCGGCAAAGACTGACATTTTTTATTTTTTATTTTTTTGGTGATGGAATGTCTCAAGTTTCCCAGCTGTTTCGGTCTTGCTCTTATTCCACTTTATGCGGGTTATGTGAGACTTCTTAACACAAGTTCACACAGTTTTTATGTAAAAGTCGAATTCCTTGAATAATTGGTGTTATTATGTGATTTGCTTAGCCTCCAGCACCATGAATATCTAAGTTGTGTAATTTGTAGAACTAGAAAGTCAATTTTAATCATGTTTTACTTTTTATTTGCCTTGGTCCAGACTCAGAATGTTCGCTTTCTATTTCTTTGATATTCACATCACCAATGCATGCAATTGTCTAACTTTGCTCCTCTGCAGTGTGAACACTCTTTGAGGAGACATTTCAGTGATATATTGCTGGACTGCATTTTGTGTGTGTGTGTTTGAGAGGCTGTGTGTGTGTGTGTGTGTGTGTGATTGTGGACCAGCCAGCTGGCAAACACCCACTGGACTGTTTCCACATATTCAAAACTAGCTCCACTTGAGGATTATGTCACTCTTTGCCATCATAATTGCTCAGAAAAGGACACAGAACGAGGACTGAAATATCAATGATTCAGTAAACGGCCCCATCACAGAGCAATCATTTCGGGGTAAAAATCGTTTGAAGGAAACCAATGATGCTGTAAAGGTTAAAGCCAAAATGTGCAGGTTACTGACGAGTGAATGAGAAACGAAGAAGTTACTTTTGTGAGGCTTTCATTACATCAGCAAGCATTTTGAACTAACTTAAAGTAGAATTCATAATCATCTATACTATCAGTTTCAGAAAGCTTCAATGGGTCCAACACCAGTTTTTTATGTGTCATATTTTATCCTTTTCCGATAAATACAAAGCATTTTATTTTGCCTCTTCTTTCAGGTCCGTCTCCGCAGCTGAAGCTTCTGTGCGGAGCTGATTTCCTCGATACCTTCAAGATCCCAGGCTTGTGGCGGGACGACCACGTGGAGGAGCTGGTCGGGCATTTTGGTCTGGTCTGCGTCAGTCGAGGGAGGCTGCAGCCCGAGCGGGCCGTGCACGAGTCGGACACGCTGTCCAGCCACAGAGAAAACATTTTCCTCGTGAGGGAATGGGTGAGGAACGAGACAAGCGCCACCGAGGTCCGCCGAGCACTGAGGCGAGGCCTCAGCGTGAAATACCTGATCCCAGACTCTGTGATAGAATACATTCACCAGCACAACCTCTACACGGAGGACAGCGAGAGGAGGAACGAGGGCGCAGTGCTGAGGCCACTCATCAAGCAGGCGCACAAACCAGTCAAGAGTCTGGACGACTGACAGACGGAGCTGAACATGGGAACCCTTGAAGTGTAAATTCACTCAGTCATCAGCGCTTCCCTTCAAGGATTGGAGGCTCTGTTTATGTTCACTGGACTGCAGCTTGGAAGCAGTTTGCACAACCAGTAAATGTCTACAAACAAACACTTTTGGCCTAAATGTGTTTGCCAGGCATCTCTCGTTTTGAACAGGAAACGTCAGTCCAGTGTTGTGATGTCTTTTGTATCATTCACATGAAAAGCTGCAAATACTGAGTCTCATCTGTATGTCATAGTGCCATAATGTTTGCTAAATGTTTTTCATCTTTGGTAGATTTTACACATTTCACATCATTGCAGTTGGATAAAACAAAATAAAATCCTATATATTTAAAGTATTCTTGTCTGAATTCTATTTTTTCTTTGCAGCTCTCAATCTAAATTCTAAGAGACACCAAAAAGAAATATATTTGAGGATACAATAGAATTTGTTAGGGATGAAACTACAGGCGCAAGATATCATCAGCCTCTTAATTGGTATCGACAGAAAAAGTCTTTAAAATAAAATATAAGCCCATTTTAATTTTTTTCTGCTTGAAAATGTTGCAAAAAAAAAAGTCCTTTTTACATGTACCTTTAACTCACTTTTACTATTTTATGTCTTCACCTGCCAGTGAACCGTTACAATATGAGTAGACATGATATTTTAATTTCACTACAGGAGATACCAGATGGTCTCTACAATTATGTGGGGAAAATATGTGCATACAGCCAAAATAAGTTGGAAATTACCAGTACAAAGGGCATCAAATATCCAACATTGTGCATTCCTGGATGAAACGCTGAAGGCTTTTTTCCATCTTTGCTCCTCATGTTTACACAGTCCATCAGTATTTATTAAGGCAGATGCAGGCATTCAGTTTTTAAGGTTAAATAACAGAATCATATCAGAAAGAAAACAAAATAGAAAACATCAAAAAATATCCAACCAAGAATCTTTTTTTTAAGGACAGATCTGTTCAGATGTATTTTCTGTCAATTTTTCTCTTCGTGAAGTTCTGGAGCTTGTTGAAAAGCACTTTCCACACTAACAAGGCTAAAATTGGGATCCTGGTACCCTGAAGCTGTTAAATAGCCAAAAATCAGCCTATAAAGCATCCACCCTGTGTGTGTTGCTGGAGCTTAACCACCAGGCTACCAAGTTTTTTAGCTGCAGAATGGAATCCGTATCTTTTTTTCCCCCATTTCTTCTCATATGGATATCATGTGGGTGTCTCTGCTCTGCAGCAGCCTCCCAACAGCAATTCATCCAGGATCTATTCAGTTTCCCCATTATCATCCAGCAAAGGATTTAAACTAATCCTGACAGTTGCTCAGCTACAGGAGGTGTTTTCTCACTGAGGCCAATGGCTGAAAGCACGTCTGTGCCACTGATACTGAAGGGTATCCTTTGAAAGATGATGATAATGTGTGTGTGTGTCTTTGCCTGTGTTCCAGTCAGTAAAGGATTTAGACAGTGGGTTGACTGCAGCCGACCCTGAGGAGAGATTATCTAATTAATTGAGTTATTTAGGCAAGACAAAAGATGTGACAGGCATATTGTGCAGCATTTAATTCATCCATTTGGATGATTTTAAGCTCTGGTGATGATGCTGTTGTACTGTGAATATTAGCCTCACTGCTGTGCCTGTGAAAAGTATTCACCCCCCCTGGAATCGGTGCTAGAAGTCACACAGTTAGTGAAATGAAGATCATCGGAGTGCAGTGATGGTGTATAAAGTGGTTGTAGTAAAAAGACACTTACATCTAGAAGGTCCAGTCCCTGGTGAGTTAGTACTCCTGGTTACACCATGAAGACAAAAGAACCATTCAAGCAACTTTATGGAGAGGTTGTTGAAAAACATGTTTTTATGAAAAGAGCATTTCCAAGTCATTGAATATCCATTTCCGTTAATTGGAGTGAAATCCATCCTTATGAAACAAAAGGAACATGTCACAAACATAAATCTGCCTACAGCAGGCCCTCCTCAAAAACTGAAAGCAAGGAAGACACAAGTGGGGGAGGCCACCAAGACACCAATGACTCTCCTAAAGAAGATTTAAGCTTCAGTGACTGAGATGGGAGAACCTCTGCAACCAGCAACTGTGGCCCAGTTCTTCACCAGTCAAAGCGTTATAGGAGAGTGACAAAGACAAAGCAACTGTTGATGAAACAGCTAATAATAAATCTCAACTAGAGTTCACCATCAGACTCGATGTTGACGTCAAACACTTCACATTATCACAACCACATCATCCCCACTGTGAAGCATGGTGGTGGCAGCATCATGATGTGGAGATGCTTCTGGGCAGCAGACCCTACAGGCTAAAATGAATGTGTTCAATTATTATCCTGGAGTAGAACCTGATGCAGTCTGTAAGAGCACTGAGAGTTGGGAGAAGATTTGTTGTCCAGCAAGACAATGACTTGAAACATACAGCCAAAGTTACACAGAAATGGTTTAAAGACAACAAGATGAATGTTCTAGAGCAGCCAAGTCAGAACCCAGAACTCAATCCAATTGGGAGTTTGTGGGCAGATTGACTGTTCGCTCACAGTCCCTGTGAAACCTGACAGAGCTTGAATACTTTTGCAAAGAAGAATGGAGGAAAATGGAAGTGTGGATGTGCAAGCCTGATGAGACCTGTGCACACGGCTATAATTCATCCAAAGGTGCATCTAATAAATACTGACTTGAACTTAAATGCTCATGCAATCACTTATTTTATGTTTTATACTTCTAATTAATTAATGTTGCTTTATAGAGATCTGTTTTCACTTTGACATGAAAGAATCGTTCTGTTATGATTCAGAGTTGAAAAGCAGTAAGACTTCTAAGGAGGATAAATACTATTTATTGACTTTGTATGTGCTCCATGCAGCCTGCTTTAACAGGCCTCTGAGGGATTTTTACTCTTGTAGGTTGACTCTTTATCATGCTGCTCTTTGATTATACTCCTTATTAAATCATCATGTTATACAACATGGATAACTTGTAGGCCAAATCCGTCACATGTAGAATAAATGGGCCCATTATTAAAGGCGGTGCATTCATCCTAATCCCGCCTAAGCAAGTAAGCATTCTCCAGCATAACGCACACAAGTGTTCGTATGTTATGTATGAATGCGGCGTGTCTCCAACATGTAACATGCAGGGGAAGCGTGGTGAGGATTGAGAGGTTACCGACCGTTTTGAGGGAAGTGGGAGGTGTGGACTAAAAAAGAAAGAAAGAAACTTGGCCAGTAATCGGATTAAAGTGGGTTTGGTTCAAATTGGGGGCTGCATTTCTTGCACTCCGTCGCCTGCAGCTCTCCACAGCGGACCTCCTCAGTTACTGGAAGTAAAGAAAGCAGCAGAGAAACAGTCAACATGCCTGCTGATTTTAACGGATATTGGAAAATGATTTCCAATGAGAACTTCGAGGAGTACATGAAGGCTTTAGGTGAGTTTGTAGCAGGGGATGGTGGGAATCAAGCCTGGAAAAGGTCATCGATAGATAGGCTTTATAAACCTGTATGGATTTCTATAGAATCTGCAAAACTTCAAATATGCCTTTTTAGATTTTTCTTGTGTACAAAGTCAACACAAATGTTCACATCACACTTTGTACACAGTAGCAAGTGTATGTGAGCTGCAGCTGAATTTAAGGGCTTTTTTGAATGAATCTCAATTACTTTTGTGGAATCTATCACCTTGGAATCCAACTTTTTTCCCTTTAAATTATTTTTCCAGCTCTGGTAAAAGTGCATAAACAAACCTGCCTTAACATTGTGCACCTGCTGTTCTTTCGGTAAAGCAAATACTTAAGTTGGAAACATTGAAAAATCACAGTTAACTTTCCTTAAAATTGAGTTGCAGCAAATGATTTTAGTCCATCTAACTTAATTTAGTGGCGTTAATATTTACCTAATTTGGACACATTCATTTTAATTGCATGGTACCAGTTGCAGTTCTCTTTTCAGTAACCTCACGTTAACCCTTCTGCATCGAACTGCCACATTTGTAGTGCACGTATGCCAACAAATGCACAAAAACCCATTGCTTCTCTCTGTCTCCCATTCATTTTTTCTTTCCTGGCTTGGGGACCAGATGTAAACGTTGCCATCAGGAAAATCGCCAACTTGCTGAAGCCTGACAAAGACATCACTCACGACGGGGACCACATAATCATCAAGACCCTCAGCACCTTCAAAAACTACAACATGGACTTCTATGTGGGCAAAGAGTTCGAGGAGGATCTGTCTGGAGTGGACGACAGGAAATGCATGGTGAGTGTTTGATCTGTGGCTTCTAATAAATGTTAATTAGTCGCATTAATCACAAACCTGAGGCACTAGTTAGTTATTATATACTGTAAATCGTATGAAGTTCGTTCAGCTCAGAAACCTAAACCCCCCCCAGCTGCATTATAAACGTGAGTCATCTGCACTTGGGTTCATTATTTAGTTCAAAGTCGTCTTGTGCTTTGGCTGAGAAAAATTCAGTGAACTTGAGAAAACAAGATGTTTAATTGAATCAACTTGTTATATATACAGCGGTTACACTTGCTTTCCTTTTTTAATTTCTAATTTTATAGAGTTTGTAGGGTTTAGGCTTCTTTATTCAACCTTGAGAACTTACAGCCTCAGCTTTTGAAATCATTTTTGACCAGAGTCAGTAAAAAAAAAATTATCTGTGAGGCTCTTTCTGGTTAAACTGAGATTTTTTTAAAAGTCTACAGATGCTGGGACTGAATTCAGTACGACCCTTTGTTATGTTAGAGTTGCTTTGATTGCTATAAAAATGACTTTCTAGGAATCTTAAACTTTCTAACAATGCATCCTGGGAAGTCTGCTTGTGTGCAAGTGTTGCGTCTTATAAACCTATTTTAATGAGCAGAGTGAACTCTCAGCTGTTTGTTCATTTAACTCGTGTTTTTTAAGTGCACTAAAAAAAAACCAAGCTGATTTGACTACATTCCTTTACGATGTTTTACAGTCCAGGTAAACAGCATTACTGCAGGTGTGTGCACTCGTGGCACCGACACACACGTTCTATATAACCCGTCCAGAATGCAGCAGTAATGAGGCAGATAACTGTGGTGACATCTGGTCATTTTTATACACAACTTTCCTCCCACTCACAAAAACTTTCCTCAAACTTGTCACACTCTTGTTAGTGAATTGATGTAATGAAGACTGATGTCAGACACTGCAGAGGAAGAGTCAAAGCACAGACTCGCATTTAATCAGACTGTGACACTGAATACTGAGGAGGATAAAAAAGATTATCTGTGCTCGTAAAAGAAAAAAAAACCTTTTTTGTATGCCGATAGGCCGATGATAGAGAAGCTATTAGCGATTTTGAGTGTGTCTGAGAGAGAAAGAAGTCACATTTGTCTGCGTATGAAGACTTTATCTGAATAATTATTTTAAGTGGGGAGGAATTACTGTACATTTAAAACAATATATGCTGTCTAAAGAGTAAACCCTTCGCCCATGCATCTTGTATGATGATCACATCTCTTGCAGACCACCATCAGCTGGGAGGGCGACAAGCTGGTGTGTGTGCAGAAGGGAGAGATTGAAGGAAGAGGCTGGACCCACTGGGTGGAAGGAGATGAGCTTCATCTGGTAAGAAAACATCAGTTCCTGCCATGAATATTAATATATGCAATTTGGACACTTTAATCCAAGTCCAAAATGCCTCTCAGCCCTGTATGTGCAGCGCATATATTTTAATGTGTGACTCCACTATGAATTAGCCCCACTATCTCCAGCAGGAGTACCATTAGTCAGTGTGGCGTACGGACAGAGGAGAAATTATTTCTGAAAGTTACAAGTGTGTGGATATGACTCACTTACAACCAAATAATTCATATTATTTCTGCATAATAACTACCTCTGAAGTTACTGCTTCAAGGGGGGGAAAAAAAGACTTATTTTGATTCTCGAGTGTTCCCTTTCAGATCTAGCAGAAAGATTGATGCAAGATGTTCTTCGATCAGGATGAACTGAGACTATCCGGCGTGTATCCGCATCGGCCATTTTTTTTTTTTTTTGTTCTCCTGACTTTGCAAATTCCGTTAAAAGAACTTCAATGCGTCTCCTCTGTGAAATTCACAGCGTGGCCCAACGCGGCTCGTAATGAACGTCTGAGATTACTTTAAAGTCACGACTAGCACATTAGCATTTTCATTAGCTCAGCATTATCAGATTTCCCTCTTTATGATTGCCGCTATCAAAGCTAAGTAAAAATAATCTGCCACATTATTTGGCGTAAGTGGTGCCGACAGATGTTTTCAATCAGCAGCCATGAAATTAGTTATTAGTGGAAAGTTCCCAAGAGCTCGGAGAGGCCCTGAATCTGGAGCAACAGTGACCTTCAGTGGCAGAGAATGTGCTGCAAGTTAGATGCCTGGAAATGAGAAACCACATCAGTTCACCATTTTTCTCGGTTAAATGGAAAGATTTGGTGCTCTCTTTATCACAGATTTAAATGGACCTTCTAAACACATCTTACAGTTAGAACACATGCCCCAGTAACTACTTCACAGGGCTGCGTAATAATGGAAAAAACCAACATTATTACGTTTAGTTTTTCTGAGATATGTCTTGCAATATGAACAACACAGGACTTTTCACCAGATGGACTAAACAACAATTACAAAAAAATTATGCATTCTGGAATGATTACAGTGATTATGTTAGACAATGCATTTGCATAGAAAATAAAATATATATATATATTTGTTTTAAAAGCCATTTTGGACCTTCCTCATATGGCGTAACACTGGCAAAGGCGTTCGAAATAGTTTATAGCTCTGGATGGCGTTCAATCTGGCTCTGCACTCATGGCGCGGAGCTTTGTGGAGCTGGTTTAAATGGACAAACAGCGCTGCCACAGGACCTGCTTTCAGTCAACATCGTCCTTTCTGGCGCTGAAGCATTTCCATACGATGAATGTTTTTGTTTGCAACCGTGTCCCAATGTTCAACGTTTTTCATTTATTCCGCTCTCATTTTGCTGCGCACATGTCAACAAACTCCGTCTCTTGTGATTAAAAACACCTCAGTGTATCCCAGAGGCCTTAAATTGGAGAACATTATCAGACAGACTTCTCTTGCAGAGTCATCATGGAAAATGAGAAGGTTTTCTTTTTGTATTAAGCAGTGAAAAAGTAGCAGAATAATATGCTGGAGGTAATTTGCCTCATTCACATCGGCCTTCTTGCAGTGTCGCTATTGTGCACACATAGTTAGCGAGTTCAGACACTCTGCGTCTTTGAGATTGGAACAAACTGTGAACTGCCTTCGAGCTACATTTGATTTTTTCCTTGAGAATTTCAAAGCTTTACTATCTGGAGTTCTTTTTTTTGTTTTTTAATGATTTAATTGTTTTTATTAGCCCTTGTGAGTGTGGTTTTATGTAACGGTTATGTGGTGGTCTGATTAATGAACGTCTCTCATTCTCTGGTCTCACTTGGAAAAAACAGATTGAGATCAAAACGAGGCTACCTGATGAAATAAAGTTTAATAATCTGGAAAATACGTCGCCACAAGGCTGGAGAGAGTTTTTTGTGCAGCTGGTGAAAAGTTTCAGATACACGGTTTTCACGAAACGGTGACGAAATGTGGGAGTGGATTAGACTAGCATAGAATAGATTATTTGAAATACTGATTTGTGATAGCATCCTTTATTGATAACTGATGCATCCCTTAGTTACTGTTGCTAATGTGGACAAGTTTTGTTGTCTTCAGGTTCTTTGAGGTTTTCCTAGTTCTTGCTCAGCTGCAGCATTGCAATCCCTTCAAATTTACATCAGCTGACATCCTCTGCTAAGTCGTTTTCCGTTCGTCACGATGACTTTCCAACTTTTTTTGCAGGTTAATCTAAAAAAATTGTGTCTCGTTCTCTGCAGGAGCTGAGAGCCGCGGGAGTTGTTTCCAAGCAGGTCTTCAAGAAGGCCTAAACAAGACGTGGCCCCGAGCCAACGGTGCCTCAGATAAACACGTCTGGCACAAGCTCTGAATCCAACTTTCCTTTGGTCTCTCTGTGTATCCACCATCTCGTTATGAGTATTATTTTCACCACATTTATATTCCATCGACGTCGTTGCCTTACTTTGACAAAGCCAAATCATACAGTGTAGCAATACCGTGTATTTGTCTCCAGGTGGCTGCTTTGATTCACAGGTTTAGATGAGCTGGATGCATGTGTGTTGCTAGGTGTAGCCGATCCGATGGGTGAACCAGACTGATGCAGTGAAATGACCAGGGTTGGAGTTATGGATGAGATGAAGAGAAAATAATTCTGTGAATGATTGTTGTGGAGGGAAAACAGTGGGATCTGAGTTTGGGCTGTAACTGATACTTACTCTGCAGAATAAATATCTGATATATGTATATATTCCGAATTCCTGTGGGACCGTGCCAGTGGTAGAAAGATGAATCGAGCAATAAACAAACTAGTTCTCAGTTGAGTATTTTGTCTTTTTTTGGTGGTTAAACCTTCCAGTTTATCTTTATTTTCCCAATCTGACACTGAAATACACAATTCTTCCTGCAGTTTGAAGTTAGAAATTCTTCTTATCTGCCTTGGCAGCCATGCGAGAGGAATCTGAGGACCTCCACTTGTGAATGAAGCAGACAACTCGAGCCACGCTGTGCTCTGAATCAGCTAATCTGTCAGCTCACTTTGCTTTGCCATTACCAATTGGCGAGTCTGCAGAAGCTGTCTAACTCACTTGCTCATTCTCTGCTGCTGCAGCTCACGCCGCTGTTCTGCCTCCTGCTGCTTCTTGCGCATTCACGCCCGGCCACCATCTACCTGCAGGCTCTGTTTATTTATGATTCCCCAGGGGGTTGCTATTGATTTCTCCCTGCTCTTGCTTTGGGTGGTTAAAAAATGATGCTCTCGGGGAGAGGTCAGAACGGAGTCGGACGCCAGAGAACTGCATTTATTCTCAATAAAATGTTCCCTAAATTTGTGTGTTGTCTGGCTGGAAGTCAGTTACTCAGCTCTCTTGGTCTTATTGGATCACAAATCTAAAATATGAAGTCCCCCTTTGCTCTTATTGTTACTCCAGTTCTTTCTATCCATCTTAAATCTAGACGTCATTGTTCCTCCACCGTGATTGCAGAAAATCTTCTGGAGGGAATCTTTTCAAAATGCCAAACTGTTCTCCCACATTTGAGAAGTTGCATATCAATTTAGTATTAAAAAAAAAAAGTGCACACAAATAATGACTTCATTTTAAAACTGCAACAGGTTGAACTTTAGTAACCTTCACGTTCAAAGTTCACACATTCTGGTTTAGTATCTGAGTTTGCTGCAGAAAAAAAAGATCAAATAAAGAGACGACACTGTTGGCACATGTTACAAAACTCCTGTCTGTACATTGCACACCGCGGCGTGCGTATTTGCTTAAAAGGATCACGTGAGAAAAAGAGTGATGGCGTTGGGGCACCTGTCGATTCTGCCCTTAATAACCTCCTCCAATGACCGCACAAAGCTGTCACTGAGTCTCCCTCCCTCCCCTTCCCAAACAGCTTCCCCTGCCAATCATCTTCAGGCAGTAAACTCACTTATCAATAGTTCTCTGCCCTTGTGCCCCCTGACTTGTATAAAAGCGAGTGGACACCCTGCCCCTTCCCCCCTCCTACCACTGTCTAAAGTCTACACACACATCAGCGTCACCGGCTGCCATCATGCCTGCAGACTTCAGTGGAAAATGGATACTGGAAACCAGTGACAAATTTGAGGAGTACTTGAAAGTGTTGAGTAAGGCGCCTTTCGTTTTGGCAGAGTGTGTTTTGGTCGGTTACATGTTAAAATAGGAGGAGGGATGCGGCAAATTCAAGAAGCTGCAGAAGGAAAAAAGAAAAAAATCAGGTTTTCTCAATGTTTCTGAGAGTGTTTCTGTTTGTTCTACCTTGGAGTTAATGTTTTGTAAATTATTCACTAAAGATTCTTGCTAAGTACAACGAAAAAAGACAAATACAAAAATAATTATCATTAAAAAAAAACCTCCTTAGTTATCTTGTTTTTTGATTGTGGGTAGAATTCCAGAACTAACTTGTTAAACTATGCATAAAATAAGTTAATAAAAATTAGATCATGTATTCCTGTTTAACTACATACTGTATTGTCCTCTCTCTCTCTCTACTCTGCTCCCAGATATTGACTTTGCTACCAGGAAAATTGCCATCTCCCTGTCTCAGACCAAAGTGGTGACCCAAGACGGAGAGCAGTTTGAATTCAAAACACTGAGCACCTTCAGGAACTACGAGCTCGCCTTCACTGTGGGGGTGGAGTTTGACGAGTACACCAAGGGACTGGACAACAGAAACATCAAGGTGGGTTCAACTTCCACGTGTGACAAGAGCCGGTTCTAGTCAAGGTGTGTCCGAGGCAGTGGTGGAAGAAACATTCAGATGCTTTACTTGAGTAAAAATACTACAGTGTTAAAAACTAAATAGAAATTTTAGCATCAAATAAAATAAAATTACCTCTAGTAAAAGTAGCCTTTAAGTATGATGGCCCATTTTAGAATTAGATGCATCACTTTAATGTTGCAGCTGTAATTATAATTACCTTACATACTGCTGGGTAACATCATCTACAATAATATAGCATCATTTATGACATGATTTTCTATTTATAGTTTATATTAATATTCTGAGTGTGCAAAAAATAACTAGAAGCTTTAAAAACAATGTAGTGGAGTACAATGTACAATATATGGTTCCAAAATGTGGTCAAGAAGAAGCAGGAAGTAGCATTGCATGGAAAATACTTCAAAATCCTACTAAAATACAGCACATGAGTAAATGTGCTTCATTACATTCAACCACTGGAGCAGAGTAATGACTGACCTGTGTTCTACATGTGGAACATCAGTTCTGGGAACAGACTAAAGCAGCCAACAGTAGAGTGTCAATGATTAAAAATAAATAAATAAACATAGGGCTGCACAGTGGCTCGGTGGTTAGCACTGTTGCCTCGCAGCAAGAAGGTCGCCGGTTCGCGTCCCGGTGAGGACACCCGGGATCTTTCTGCGTGGAGTTTGCATGTTCTCCCCGTGTAGCGTGGGTTCTCTCTGGGTTCTCCTGCTTCCTCTGGCGACCTGTCCAGGGTGTCTGCTGCCTTCACCCTAAATCAGCTGGGATAGACTCCAGCCCCCCCTAGTGAGGATGAAGCGGTGTATAGATAATGGATGAATGGATATAACAAAATATATAACATATATCAGCAGAGATTCAGTTTTACATTGGCATGAGGAAGAGAAGGAAGTTGTCTGACCTCATAAAAAAACCTCATGTATAACCAGATGTATAGACATGTGCAGTAATAAATACATGGTCACCACAGCGTTTTCTTTTTCTTCTTCCTTTTTACATGGTATTGTGTCCAGTCTGAACTTGTTCACCTTTGGCTCAGTTAAAGTTGGCCCTATTAACTGCATCAGCATGACTCTATAACTGTATTAAAAGATACGTGGTACTAACCAATGAAAAAGAAGGAGACAAGATAAATAAGAAGACCTGTAACACCCGGTTTAACAAGTGTAACAACCAGTGTCTAATGAACTGTACAAAAAAAAAAAAACGATTTCCCAATGCTGTTCTCGAGTATTGATTTATTTTTTTTTAAAACTTAATTAAAAAACACACATTTAATTAAACCATGTACACAGCTTACTCTGCAAAATGCATTTTTATATATGTAAATATTCTGAATTCTTTTGGCACTGTGCCACTAATAGTAAGACGAATCGATCAATAAATGAAACAGCTCTAACCACAGTCTTTTGTCCTTTTTGGGTTTTTTTTGTTTGTTTTTTTTTTGGAGTAGCTAAACCTTCCAATACGTCTTTACTTTCCTGATCAGACACAGAAATAAACAGTTGTTACTGAAGTTTGATGTTGGACACATTTTTTTCCTAACATTATGTGAAAAACAATCCTTTTCTGACAATTTTGTGATTTGTGGCGTGATAAAAAAAAAAGTGATATCTAAAATCCCTTTTTCAAAAACCTGTCAACAAGAATTCTGATGCTGGTTTTATCCAATATTTAGATTTCTGATGTGAAAATATGTGCAAATAAGAGCCTCTTTTGATGGGTGATACTTAATTTGCATATTTACTCTTTAATTTTTTGAAAACTTTTAATATTGTCTTATTGTAAGTAATTAACTGGGCAAGTTTCATGGTGATGTCCATTTGTTAACCATTTGAAACTCACTGTGTTATTAGTATATGTTGACTTACTGAACGCTTGGAAGACATCAGGCAGCTTATTAATAAGACATTTCTCTTCTTCTCTTCACTCACTGACTCTTATAGTAAATTTATCTCTTAAAGAGGAGCAAACAATGAGTCTGAAGTAAAAACTAATACAATTTATTGTATAATACGTCAACAAAAAGCATAAATTGGTGAATCTTTGTGGTTGCAAGAACCTTCAGGTTTAAATAAAAAGTATGTGAGTGTTAAAAGCTTATCAGAGGAAATGACTAAAAAGACTTGAATGAATTAAATTGTTTATTAAGGTTTGAAATGTCGCCTCGTAGAGTTTGGTAACCTGGGAGGGGGACAAGCTGGTGTGCACTCAGAAGGGCGAGAAGACCAACCGTGGCTGGAAACACTGGATCGAAGGAGACAAACTCTACCTGGTGGGTGACAGTATTGATCTTCATAATTAGATTCCTGTGAAATTCCTGAACCAGAACTCGGGCTGATGGATTAAAGAGAGATGTGTTGGATTAGTGGGAGGCTTTGCACGGCAGAATGTGATTGCTAAGTTTGGAAGTTTTAACACTTCTGCCGCTCTCATACTTTTTAATGATCCCTTTGCTGAATGACATGAACAGATTTAATCTCTTCCACAGGAGCTGACGTGTGAAGATGTAGTTTGTCTTCAGGTGTTCAAGAGGAAAGAATAATTTCTGGTTTTACTTTCATTGACTCAGTTTCCAAAATCAAGCTTTGCCTCTCAGTACAACTTTACTTTTTCCAAAACATATGAAAGAGAATGAATGAATAAAGCTGCTTTGAGAATACACCATGTCTGAATTGTTTATGTTATTTGTTATTATAAACCAACTTTATGTTTGAATGTTTCTGACAAATCTAGAAATACAAACAGTAAAATGATAGTAGTGAAGAATACATCTCTAACTTTCTCATTGTAACACTTGTAATAAACACAACTTAGATTTATTCATGTTGCACTTTTAAATACAAGGTTTAAGAAAGTGCTTTGACCGATAACGCAAAAGCAGGATACCCTGAAGGCTGCATAACAGCAGTTGAAATAATTTTTTTTGTGTTTTTTTTTTTTTTTTTAAAGAAGAGAACAGATGCAAAAAAGCTGAATGCAGTCTTTCAATATTAGTGAAGTCAGGTCCAAATTTAAAGCAACAGATGGTGAGTCAAAGTGCTTTCGAGCAGAGAAATAAGATTGGTGTTACAAATTTATCCAACAAGTTTAAATATTAAGGTAAAGAAACATCATTGATGATGTAAACCTACTTGTGCAAGTTGCAGTTAAGACTCTATAATATTATATAAAGTACAAATTTATGTGAAAAGTTGTAATATTAAGCTCAGGACTGTATGATAGTGTCGATTATGTAAAAATGTGCCTGACTAATGGATATAAAGAGAAGAAAAATAGATTCTTCTTGGCAGTAATGAAGGAAGGCTGGCACTCAGTGCTTACCTTGAGTTGAGGTCATTAAAAACTAAGACTGAGGTCAAGAATCTCCGTCTGATCATTGATGGGAATCAGCTGCTACATCAAAGCTGTAACGAAATCTTCACTGTGGAATATTAAAAACAAACTGAGAAACTTTGTGTTCAACAAGACTTTGGAAAAACTCATTCATGGTTTAATTACGTGTAGAGTGGACGACTGTAATGCATCCCTTATTCCAAACAAGACTGTTCATTGTAACTCTGTTGTATTGTATTGTATTGTATTGTATTGTATTGTATTGTATTCTATTCTATTCTATTCTATTCTTAGGTCCCTGCACCTGCTTTTAAAGAAAATCTAGAATTGAATTTAAGGCACCACTTAATATCTCTAAATCTCTGAATGGTCTGGGACCAAAATATATCAAAGATATGTTTGTTGAGTCTGAAAGGTCTGTTAGATCTGCAGGGACCAGACAGTTAGTGGAGCCCAGAGTTCAGAGCAGACAAAGTGAAATGATGTTTAGTCATTATGCTGCTGGAGTTTACCTCAGTAATATCTACTATATGTAACATAAATTACTCTGAATAACCTTGAGAGCAAGGATAACAACATTCTCTAATCAAATACCTAGCTATTTAAAATGTAATAATGTTATAAAATTATAAAACCTTTTCAAAGCTATACATGAAAAAGCTAACAAATGCTCCTACAGTTTCCTCTGAGCAGCGTGTTGCTGACAGCGGAGACAAACGACACCAGGCTCTGGGAGGACGGCGTTTCTTCCTCGGCCGATTGGACCGAGGGTACAAGGGAGAGCGAACAAGGAAAGCAAAGACAAACAGACCATAAACAAGAGGACATAAACACTAAACAGATGAGACCACAGCAGCTCCGAAGCCAGTAATAACTGCAGAGAAGCACAACAGAGAGAACATGGAGGGCTAAACACAAACTACACTAGAGACAAGACACAAAGTTAACAACATGCATTTGTGCAATTAAATTCAAGAAGAAAGAGAAGAATTTAAAACAACAAACAAAGCGTAAACACATGTGAAGACAACCATATGAACAGGACAGAGAAGGTGATGCATGTTGGCTGGATTAACAAGTATTAATAAATACTAATTAAACAGGTAAAACCTTAATGAGCAATAAAAGCTTCATAAGCAATAAAAAAAAGACAACATAAACACATAAAAACAAGTCTATAAAAATGGGTTATAGGAAGTGATTTTAACAAAGTCTGCAACCTTTCCTTAGGCAGGTTGTTCCCAAGCTTGGAAGCCTTGAATACATTAAAACATAGAGAGAATGACGGCATGCACTAAAGAATGAACTGACTTTTAGAAGAGAAAAAGATCATTTTTTGTCTGGTTTTAATGGCTCAAGTCAAAACCAAGACTTAAATCGCCATCTGCTGGAAAAATGTGGTAGTTTTCTGCTCACCTTGCCTCTTGCCTACAGTCAGCTGGGATTTACTCCATCCATACTTTGTTCATCATACCCTGTGCAGAGCGCTTGATGGTTTGAAATTTATGCAATTTCTATGCAGCATAAATCTGAAAAAATGTTTGATAGGTGGTTATCAATAACTTCCGCCCCACTAGCGTCAGTTTGATGTGTACATACAGCAGATGTTTGTAATGAATAACAGTTATTTGTAATTAGGCTGGTGTCCCACAATAAAAATGTCATAAAATACTATAATGAGAAAATATAAAAAATAAACACACATCCATTACAAATGAAAGGCCATAGCAGTTGTGAAACACTCAATTACTTCTGTAATGCCAAACAGTGCATTAAATAAGATGAACAAAATGCTGTATAGTCATAATGTGTTGCACTGGGCCCTCCCCTAAAGTGATTTTCACTGCTCAGTTAGAATAAAATATAGAATAAAAATACTTTATTGATCCCAAAGGGGAAATTGTGCAATCAGTTGATCTCCCACTATGACAAAACAGAGTACATAACTGATTTGAAAACACAACGACATCCCAGATTGTCCCATAACCATGAGTAACAGCAGAGTGAAGTGTTCTTTCTGTCACCGTGGCAGCTTTGCTGGCTGCAGCAGCCGGACCTTCAGGTCACGTCATCACTTGCTGAGCGCAACTCTCGCGAGATTGGGGTTTCAGGAAGTTCCACGTCAGTGCACCGTTCATTGAAGTCGCAACATTTGGACCCCGAATACAACTGTTCACTACAAATTTATCTTATTTTATTGCGACAACGCGGGGATAAAACATGGTAAGAGGCATTTAAAATAGATCTGTGTGTTTTGTTTTCATATATGTTAGATGAATGTCCCGATTTGTTTTAGGAGTGGCCGTGAAACAATGTCAAATAATAATATCTCTCACAAATAGCTTAGCGGCTAACTAGCTTGTGTTAGCATGAGAGCTTGTAGCTAACGGCCATTATAATGTATAACCTTCTCTGTTTCCTTATTTCATATGTGCGTATCTCTGTTCTGAGATAGTTGTAGGATTATTTATTATAGGATGCACAAGTATACGATTCGTGAAGTCAAGATAAATGTATTGTGTTCGGTGTTAGCTGCTAATAGTTTCCTAGCACTTCTGTTATTCCGGGTCTTTAATGCTTCAGTCTTATTTTTTTAAACGGATAATTAAATGTTAATATAAAACCACCTTTATTGAGTGTTTTAAAACACACTGATGTCCTCTGTGTTTTTAGCCTCTGAGGCTGGACATCAAGCGGAGGCTGACAGCCAGGTCAGACCGAGTGAAGAGTGTGGACCTTCACCCAACAGAGCCATGGATGCTGGCCAGTCTGTACAACGGCAGCGTCTGTGTGTGGAACCATGAAACACAGGTATGAACACAAGTTAAAGGGACACCTGTGCAAGGTTGCACTACATAATGTGAAAGGAGTGATCAATAAACTTTCAAGCTTGAATGTATGACAAACACATCAGTGATGGAGTTACGAACTACAACCTAATGTTTTTCCCCAGACGCTGGTCAAGACTTTTGAGGTGTGTGACCTCCCTGTCCGAGCTTCTAAGTTTGTGGCAAGAAAGAACTGGGTCATCACAGGAGCGGTAAGTAACCTTTATTTGTTTATGTTGGGGGCTCAACTCAAAAGTTAGGCACATGTAGCACCAATAGTAAGGATGGATGTTGTTAAGATTTTAACGGTGCAACTGCTTCCATTGCACAGATTATGTCACTTTAATAATTCCGACACTTTCACTCCTCTTTTTTAAAAGAAAAGTTTAATGCTTTTATTTGACTGTATTTTTATTGTGCAGCTTTAATAGTTTTACTCAAACGTTTTAAGTACTACTTCTGCCACTGCCAATACCAACATTCAGTTAGAGAAACAGTGAAAATAAAGCAAGATTAAGTTTTCCTGCAGCTCCCAAGTCTCTAAATCCTCGTTGTTCTGAGCACTTTGAAACTGTGAACTTCTGGAAGACAGCTTGTGTAATGCTCTGACCATTTCAGATTGAATCTATAAACACACCACAGCTAAACAATCAGCTGACTAATGGCCTGTATGGGATACACTTTTGCTCAGTGTTTTGACGGATCGAACGTGTTTCTGTGGGCCAAAAGACTTGTTGCATTTATGTGATATGTGCAGTAAAATCTTGAGTGGTAGTTTCACAATGCAGTGTTTGCATTTAGGCCATATGTCTGATTATCTTGTTACACATTCCTCTCACTGTGCTAAGCTAATGTGTATTCAGCTGATATTTCAACATTTTTACCTCCCAACACAGGATGACATGCAGATCCGTGTGTTCAACTACAACACATTGGAGCGGGTCCACATGTTCGAGGCCCACTCTGACTACATCCGATGCATTGCTGTCCATCCAACCCAGCCGTACATCCTCACCAGCAGTGGTGCGTTAGTACACTCAAGTTTATTAATCACAAAAATTCTAATTTGTCATCATATCATAGTTTGTGTGTATTTATATGTGTATCATCATGTGTCTGTGTTTGTGCAGATGATATGTTGATCAAGCTATGGGACTGGGAGAAGAAGTGGTCGTGCAGCCAGGTGTTTGAGGGTCACACTCATTACGTTATGCAGATTGTCATCAACCCCAAGGACAACAATCAGTTCGCCAGTGCCTCCCTGGACAGGACAATTAAGGTAGGGGCCACCTGATGTTGCTCTTGTCAGTTCTGTTGCAGCTAAAGCCGTGTTTCAACTGCAGGAACTTTTCCAGCTTTACCTGCATTTAACCCAGAACAACCGAGTTCAAAATAAAGTTCCAAGGAGACTGTTTTAGCCCCTGCTCCAGGGGTTTGCTCAAGGTTCAAAATCTTTAGCCATCTATGATTGTTGTTAGTCAGAGTCACGCATCCAGTGGG